CCTGTGTGGTCCACCTCGAGGGATTGGAACCTCTTCCCGCCATTCGTCGAGTGCTTTTCCGTCTTTTACAGCAATGCTCCAATGGTCAAAAGCAACCGCATTGCGATTCTCTTTGCTTCCGCCCATCACGTGTAGCCTCTCTCTCCATATCTGAGTCGCAGGAGCATACCTTAATCCAACAAACAAAAAAAAGCTCTTTATTAATCACAGTCTCAAGCTACCAAAGAGTTTAGCATATTCTTTAGACAAAAATGTGTAAGACCTTTTACCTTGGAGCTGGTAGTGAAGGGAACTCAAGCCACGTCTTTGTGGTTGAGTCCAAGACAAAGGAACGAGAAGTGGGTCCTCTACATTGAGGACCATACTGCCCCGAAATCACATACAAGAATCTTCCATCCGTCGCAATCCCGAGATGCGAATTCGCCATCTCTTTAGGAGTGTCGAATCTCTCACACCATTTATTGTCTGTGAAATTGAACACATCCACATGAGAATGAACCTGAGAGGATAATCAAAGTGATCAAATTCTATTACTATAACACATAACTTTCTATATTGAGCTTATAATATAAACAAGTTTCTTACGTAGTCGAGACTGCCATAGCCAGAGAAGACATACAAAAGGTTTTTGATTTGTACAGAGTATCCGTCAAGTCGAGGAACTGGAGCTGACGGCATTTGCTCCCATTGTAATTCCGGCGCCGGCAAATCGGCAAATGTAGCTGATAACAATCGGACATGATCTTTTGTATCATTCAATTGTTTGCTTCTCTGCAAATGCGAAAACGTTAAAATGAAATCTAAGAGAGAAATTCATCGTTTTTCCACAAAATTCCTCCGGAAAGCAGAACTAAAAACTCGATTCAATTGAAATGTACAAGGAAAGACAAAAGCTAAGGGACCTTTCGAACAATGTCGGAATGGATGTTCGGAATTTGAATCTCCGGTTGGTTTACGGGAAAAAACGCCGGAGAATGAAATCTAGAAGAAGATACAAAAAGAAAAGCTGCAACGAATCCAATCCCAAGAACACTCGTGAAATACAGTACAAGCATCAACTTCCTCGAAGATTGGTGATGGTTATGAGAATGATCAGGCTTATTCGCCATTTGTGTTTATGCAAATTCCCTTGAAAGAGACATTTCAGTTCCATTTATAGAGCTTCTAAAGAAAAACACAAAAAAATGAGAAAGAGTTTTGGGTGTTCGAAATCACCGGTAAAAAGATGTGCGCCGGTGGTTTTCCCGAACCAGAAACCCCCTCCGCTCCTTGTTTCCCAATTGATTACCCTTTTGACAAAACCAGAAGGGTTGTTTGATTAGATGGGCCAAAGCCCAATAAGCCCATAAAACATAAATCAGATACATAGTCACGTGTTGACTTGAGATGTCATGTCGGCGATCTTTTCACTCTTTCAGTAAAGAGAGTCTCTTCTTCTTCTGCTACTGAAATCACGGTATGCTCCATTTTCTCTTCACTTTCTTCATCCAATTTTCCACAGTTGTTTTGTTCATCGCAATAGCTCAATTAGATCTGTAATGATTGAAATCGGAGTAATCTGAAATGTGGAATTTTCGTTACATGTTTTGAATCTGAAATTTCTTTGTGTAGATCCAATTCAGTTATGCAACGATGAAGATTCAAGCTATAGTATGAACTTATCTTGAGCTTTGAGCGAGATCTTCTCTCTAAGATATGGGATCTGTGTCTTTGAAGATCGGAGATGGAACCGCCAGATTCCGGCGAACAAGTATATGCTCCTCCGCCGTTAATCTCCTTATGCTTTTCTCCGTCGTCACCACTAACCTCTTCGCCTTATACGCTTTCTCTTCTCATTCACAAGCCAACTCGCCACTCATCCATCAGTCTCACAATATCTCACTCGTTTCTCAACATCTCTCTCTTATCCTCCGAGAGATCGATTCGTCGCAACGCAAGCTTGCGCAGATGGAGAAACAGATCCTTGGATACGAATCAATCGATATCTCTAGACCAAACATCGTCCCTGAGCTCAAACTATTCCTCCAGCGTCATCAGCTTCCGCTTGGCAAAGATTCGCGTACCGGGATCACTGAAATGGTGTCGTCCGTTGGACATTCGTGCGAAAAATCTGCGGATTTGCTCTCTTCGTATATGTCATACAAAGTGTTCGATAGATGTCCCGATGATTGGAGTCTTGGCCAAAAGTTGATTCTTCGTGCCTGCGAGCCGTTGCCGCGGAGGCGATGTTTGGCTAAGACGGTGTATAAGCAAGATCTGAGTCGTGTTCCTGATTCATTATGGAGATCTGTTAGTAACAAGAGTGTTAACTGGAGTGGTCTTGGTTGCAAGAATTTCGATTGCTTGAAAGGTAAGAAACTTAGCCGGGAATGCGTTGGTTGCTTTGATTTGGGTTGTGAGAAAGATAGGTTTGTGAAGGTTAAGGGGAAGAACGATTTCTTGATTGATGATGTGTTGGGTTTAGGAAACGGGAAAATCCGGATAGGGTTTGATATTAGTGGTGGATCAGGGACTTTCGCAGCGAGAATGGCTGAGAAGCACGTGACGATAATCACTAACACGTTGAACAATGGTGCTCCGTTTAGTGAATTCATAGCTGCGAGAGGGCTTTTTCCCTTGTTCTTGAGTTTAGACCATAGATTACCTTTCCTTGACAATGTGTTTGATCTCATCCATGCTTCTAGCGGATTAGATGTCGAGGGTAAACCAGAGAAGCTAGAGTTCTTGATGTTTGATCTTGATCGGGTTTTGAAACCCGGCGGGTTGTTTTGGTTGGATAACTTCTACTGCGCTAGTGACGAAAAGAAGAAGGAACTTACTCGTCTGATCGAGAGGTTTGGGTATAAGAAGCTAAAATGGGTTATAGGAGAGAAAGCTGATGCAGAAGTGCATCTCTCGGCTGTTCTGCAAAAGCCAGTGAGAGGTTGATGTGAAGGCAAAAGGAAACACGTAATGGTAAGAGTAATACTCCTATTATAGTTTACATGAATCATGATTTTGGTCGTTCCATAGGTATATTGGAGTTATGTATGTGATATTTTATATCAGAGGAGAATAAGAAGCAAATGTCGATTATTTATTTAGCGGGGCTATTGGAGAAAAATCATTTGTAAAAGTGGTCAGTATTAATGTTTTGTCTTTGTAACTTTGTCGATTATAATTTACCTTGACGCAATTATTATCCACTTATAAAGAAAATAAAACTATTTACATCTTAT